TAATTGTTTATGTAAAAATAAATCTTAAAATTACTGACAAAATGTCACAAGTTTATAAAAAAAGGTTATGAGAAGTCATGGTAAGTTTAGGGGAAAAAAGTCATAACGTTAGAAAAAACATGAGTTTATGAAAAGTAATTCTTAACGTCACAAAACTATCAGAAAAAAGTCGTAGGTTTACGAGAATGAAGTCGTAACGTTATATTTTTTGCATTCACTCCACAGAACTCCTCTTCTGGGGTATGAACTTTCATGATGAGGCATTTTAAATTTGTATATCAGACATTTTTTTTATAATTTGCCTGGGTATGTGTGAAAGTACTTGGAGATTATTACCCCTACTCAAGACAAATTCTTAAATATTTCCTTCACTACATTTGGCTGCACTTGAGTGTAACATAAATAAAACGAATGTGTCTTCTCACTTCATAAACGTTATGACCCAGCACCGTGTGCACTGATAAACAGTAATAAAGTTTGTTACCCAGACTATTGCCTCCTACTGACTCAGTGTGCAGGGTTAATTGCCTCTGCCAAGAACTTTACAGCCCTGAGGAGCCAAAGCAGTTCAGTCCCTGATCGATCATAGTGACGATGTGTGTCGGTGGTAATGCTGCGGCAAATTCCCTTGTCAGCCGAGACGTTAGAGTTCTTTCCATCAGAGCATTCATCTGTGATTCTGAAGAGCTCTGAAGCACATGTCATTTCCAGATCAGCTGTTTCTACCTGCGACCACGGTCAAGTAATTATCATCTCTGTGTCCGGTCCGCCTCTGTTGACACATCGTGCCTCGGCATCGACAGGGGATTTTTTAACACCGCCTTGAGCTGTGTCACGGCTCAGGTCCAGCTCTCTGTGCTGCCACTGCCGGCCCTCCAGGTGCCCTCCAGGAAATGATAACAATTTCTGGGTGTTCCGGTAAATCCGGTCAGGGAGTTCATTCATCACCTCTGCCGTTCTGAGCTGGAGGAGAGAATGCTGCGAATTTCTCACTGGCCTTCGCTACTGAAACAAATGCAGGAAAATAAATCTTCTCCAGTGAGAACATATTCTCTTTGTTTTCAGCCACAACAGTAGTTTTTCAGGCTTTGTCCCAGATTTAAATCGCTGGTAACACACGGATGAATTGCCAATCTTGTTACCCTCAGGTTAGATTATAATCACTCTGGTGAGTCCTGTAGCGCCTACATTCACTCTGGTCAACCGCCAATGGCTTTGTGTCCTGGTATACTGAGGACAAAGACATTAGCGCAGAGCCGACGGCAAAGTCAGTCAAAGTTAAACTACCTTATTGATCAGACGTCCACGATTGTTTCTCATTGCTACCTGAAGGGGTCACCGCGGCATCATTCTCGTCCATCTCACTTCATCATTCTTCTCCATAACGCGTCTTCATGTCTGTCTTTACTGTGTCTGTGAATCTTTCCCGAGGTCTTCATCCTCTTCTTCGTGCCTGGCAGCTCCATCTCCAACATTCTTCGTTCAATCTAATCCACTTTTTCTCCAAAGCAATCGTCCGAAATATCTCCAAACCACTCAGCTGTGTCTGTCTCTCTGATGTGCTCATCTTTATTCCTTTCCATTCCAGTTGCTCCCAAAGAAAATCCATCTCAGAAGAAAAAAAAAAACCTTTCAAGACGTTTAATCATTTTTGGTCAAGAACCAGCGTCTAGTGAATTTATCTGAGTTTCAACATGCAACTCTCTGTCAAGGACTGGTCGTCTACCAGTCATCTTCCAGACAGGAGGCCAATCACGTCACAAGTCTTCAGAGAACTCATCCCTCAGTACGAACAGTCGGTCGTCCTTCATCAGAATCTCTCGACTCTGTTATGCTTATTAATGCCGCTTTCAAGGTTTACATCTGTTCGCATACAGGTCAGAAAGTTTATCATCATGACACGAGGGGAATGTTTAAGGAAAAAAAAAAAACTCAGAATTCTTCACTTCAAATAAGAGGATAATTCTAAAGTCTCAGAGAAACAGTTCCTTTGAAGTTGAGCTGTGTAAGAGCAAAAGAACGAGCCGACACTGAAAGATAAAACAGGATCAAAATGCAAGGTCACAGTGAACTCTGGCCGTTATGATGCCTTCATGTTTAAAAACAAAGGCAGTGGCAGCGAGACTCCATTAGTATTCCTCATTAGCAGAAGAATTATTCCAGCCTCTCCTGTTTTCTGTCTTTTTTTTTTTTTACCACAGGTGCAAATCCACATTTTTCCTGACGGCGGACTGCAGAGCAGACAGAGACAGCTTCTCTAAATTAGTCTCATGTTTCCAAAAGCTGTTCGTAGCACAGCTGTCGAAATGTGACATGTAATTTTCATAAAGTGCCCATCGAGATGGTTACGCCTGCGTCTCCGTCTGAATGTTTCCATTTGCTGTGTGTGGTGTTGCTGTGTAATGATGGCTGACGAGTGTCTGTTGGTGGGTCTGTTCTGTGTCTGTACGGTGGAGAAGTGGAAATTTAATGAAACGATCTGCTGTGACGGCCTTTTATTTTATCTTTATTTGATTGAAGAAAGAATAAAAGCATTTAATGTTGCATTAAATGTCTATGATAACTATGATATTAACACACACTCACACTCACTGTTGTTCGTGTTCTGTGAGCACTGTATACTGACATAAAACCTTAACTATTACTGTACAAACACATGACTAAAGTTACCACAACTCCAATGTGACCCTCATTTAGTCCTCACTGTAAATCTTGCATCTTAACACCATCCTCTTACCAGCAGAATGTACCCACTGGTACCCACTAGTACAGTTACTGTATACCAGGAACACAAACACAGTCTGTGCCTGTGAAGGACATTCAGTTTCATTATTGACTCAGACATCGTTGTACAGTCGTAACTCGTAAGTCATTTGCAGTTAATTAAAAAAAATGGAGAATAAACCTCATCTAGCTCAAGTATTATAGTCAGTGAAGATCTGTACAGTGAATGCATCACTAATATCTATATATATAAACACACATATCTATGCATATATACATATATACCTATATACATATATACATCTTTATATACATCTATATATACATATTTTTTATATATACACATATATTTATATATTTATATATATATATACATATATATATATACATATATATATATATAGTCATAGTGACAAACCTAATCAAACAGTTTTAATTCATATATATTTATATTTCTTTTTTTCATTGATATTTCTCGACATCTTGGCTAGGTCTGATGACAACGCAGCAAATTTTGTAAGCAGCAGAGAAGCTTGATAATGTATGGCCCGAACTTTGGCGCTCCCTGCTGACCATTTTAGTCTCACTAATCCATCCTGAACAACTACGGGTTATGGGTTACTAGGTCAGAGAAGTGCTAGTTTATACGTAGCATTTTGACGGAACTGGTTCATGTTGTGCGGCACATGAAATGATCATTTGTGCCTATGGAGAATACAAAAATAGAGTTTTAAAAAAATAGCCTTTATGTTAACCCATATAACAGCCGTCTGCACTAACAACGTTCTTCTGTTTCCTCACTGACCAACAGTTGTGGTCTGATTTAAAAAACTAAAAACACAACGTCGTTACAGAAAAAAAAACCTTCCTTCTAATCAAATTAAATTCAACCTCAGGCTGTTCTTTCTCTGAATCTACAAATGTTCTTATTCTCCTCAACTGTTCCTCAACTGTTCCTCATGACCTTTACTTCACATGTACCCCCGTATACGTACGCGTATTCCTCCTTTATTCAGAGACTGATAATTGGTCCCTGTGTGGCTGCTCACCAGTCGTCAAGCTACATATGCACGGCAAGGCTCCGCTGCAGCCATGGCAACCAACAGAGAGCCACACTGACGCCCCAGTTTTATTTGCACAAACATATGAGGTGTCAATAAAGCTCCTACAATATATCCTCAGCTCTCAGCAGCTCCCAGTGCGTGCTGGAGTGCTGGTGTATTAATTCACCGGTCACATCAGCACTTCCATTGGTCTGTACAATGACGCTCAGTGAGGTTCTCGTCAAAGGAAAGGACTTAACGCTAAGTTCACGTTCTGATGTTCTGTTTTGATTTTGGACCCTAAAATTAAATGTCTCTAATTTATCTAATTTGTCAGATTAATCTTCACAAACCAATTAACTCGATTGAGGAGGTATTTATGAGAGTATATTTCTACTGTTAGTACTGTTAGTATTGGTATTGGTGGACAAAGAGGGAACAACAACAACTGATACAGTGATAGTTGCACAACCCACAGGCAGTGACAACCTTGAACATCACAAACCGTTACTGTAATAGTTACACCATAATCCATAATAATCACTTTGTTATACTATGAAAAGTACTGCAAATACTAAAAACCCTGCTAAAAATCCCAGTTCATTCCTGCATGTATAAAAACCACCGGACCAAGTCTCCTCTGTCACTAACGCCGTATCAGAAATATTACGGCAATTTTTGCATTCACTTCAATTTGGACTTTTTTTAAACCGATCTTTGTCTCTCAGCCTGGACGTGACCATAATCCCAGAGTCAGTGGAAACACACAACACAACTTTATCCATTTGTAGCTGCTCCTACTGAGGTTAATGACAGCCCTGGGGAAATTAGAAGGAGACCATGACACCCCCCCCCACACACACACACACACACACATCGGGTTTACGTGTGTGGACTGAATCATAAATTAGCCGCTGCTGCTAAATCTCATGTCATTCATGGTCAGTTCATCTGTAGATTATTCACCAGTTGTTGTTTTTTTAATCTAATTCCAGCAATGATGAATCTGGTTGTTTTTTTTCCCCTACATTGAGCTGTGGCTCAGAGTCACACCAGCGGCTCCTGTTCTCTCCCACCGTCACTCAGTCTCTTTAACAACAGATAATGAATATGAAGCCCCTCAGAGGACGTTATTAGTTCATTAGTGATTTCCCTTTTCTCTCCTGTGACTGATTTGCTCTTTGTATCTTATTCCACATGATTATTCCACATGTCCTCTGGTGTTATTTTCTCTTTTTTTTTCAAATTACAGTTTGCTGTCATGTTTAATTTGAGCCATGTTTCACTTTAAACAGAAACCATTCATGCCGTGTAGTTGTGTATTTTTTTTTTTAAAAGCTACAGAGCGGCATTTTCTGAGTGAATATGAACTGACTGAAACATAAATTCAAATAAATAGCTGTAAATAGTTGTTGTTCCAAATGTCACGGTCCGTCTGCCTTCATGACATCATCATCAGCAGTGTCAGTCACTGGTCTCATCTACATCTGCTGCTGCTTCCATGTGTCTGGCACATTGGCTGCCCACAGTCATCAGAGCAGATTTTAACAACTGAACCGCAGATTTCCAAGATTTCTACTCTATATTCCGTACTTCCTTTTTAGTCGTCAATGGAAGGAAACAGCGGAGCCGGGAGAAGGAGGATTAGGAGAGGAGGTGCTGGAGAGCACGTCTCAGAGCTTTTCCTGATGCCTGGCTGCACATTTATTTTCCAGAAATCTCAGCGGCAGTTTGGCTATAAACTGCCTGCTGCGTGAACACATGCACACACACACACACAGACTTACACACATATTGTCAATTCAAGTGTTACATTTCACACATTTATTTTATCGCTGCCAGACTTTCTGTGATACCACAGCAGTGCAGATACATTTACACAGGGTAACTACAGGCCGGGGAACACGCAGCATGACTGATGGGTTCAATTCAAACTGATATTAAAAGTACGGAAAAATGTTGTTCACTTTGTACAGCCTTCGTTTTTATGACTTCCTATTATCACAGAGGTTCGAAAAATATGAGGTCTAAAAGGCAAAAAGCAGAGGTCACCTGTGGCTCAGTGGATGGTTGTCAGTTTGAGGTCTGCTCTCTCCACTGCTGCTGCTGTTCTCATTGTTAAACTCTGGAGGGTTGGGGTTAAAATGCAGGGAGTACATTTTCCCCTAGAGGATTATCAGAGTACTGAGTACCACCAAGTACTGCTTGCTTGGTAGACGCTGCTTTTAAACATTTTTAACCTGGAAACTGAAAACTTTAAACATTTTTAACCTGGAAACTGAAGACCAGTGAAGAATGTTAACTGTAATTGTCATTGTAGGCATAAAATCCTATAATAATAATAATAAAAAAAACACTTTTCTTATTATTTTGCTTCAAAATTTAAAAAATAATATAACTGCATAAAATCGCATGTTTTTTATGTTGTTTTGTTTTTTATATAAACATTTCTGCTGACAGTTTTTCTGTTCTCTGCTGGTGTGAATCAATATTTCTTCCTCCCACAATTTCAAAGAAGTCTGTTATTCTTCTTCTACGTGTTTGTGTTTTGAAGGTTCAGTAACTCCTACTGTCTGAAACAACCTGACCACAAACAGGAGAAAGTGAAAATAGAAAACAAAGGCGACATAGGTGAATGTCATGAATTAATAAAACACATGAAAGGTGTTTATTTATAAAAGCTAAGACGACAAAATATGTATTTTCTAGATCTTATACCAGTGACGTCTAATAATCTTGGATTAGAACTTTAGACAAGCCTTGGCTCTAGTTTGGCAAATTCATTCAAAATAAGGCATTTTACGCTGAACAAAAAACAAAAAAAATATGGTTATTCCAAATATGGCCACTAGAGAGCACTGTTGCATACATTAAATATGAGTACACAGTGAGCAAAGGGAGGCGCTCTCTAGATTTAGGAACAAACAGAGATTTTATGAAATGTTCGTGTGAATATGGAGTTATTTTCTAAAACAAATGAAAAATTATTAACTTCACTTCACATAGAAATCATTTTAATCATTTCAGGGGTTTTTTTCTGCCCCTCACTGTCTTTTCATCTTCAATGAAGAAGGAGGAGATGGTTAAATCCCTCTGACATGGAAATAAAAAATATATTTTTGGCTGTGCCGTCAGACTCCATCCTCTCATCCAGACACGACCGCTGACATTTCTTATAGGGTGTCAGTTTTATTGCCGTGGCATTTAAAGGTAAAGCAGAATGGATCTCTAAGGCTAATAGCTAAACCAAAATAAATAAATAAATAAATATGGACGCTTGGATCACAATCACTGTTTCCATGACGACATCAATGTTGACACCGGTGGAATCGGGTGTCTGACATTTGTTTGAGTGCTCATTACAAAGAGGAGAAGACACCAGTGTCTGTGAGCGGGGAGTGGAAGTGGCCTAAATGACATTAAAGTAAGTGTTGCTGTGGTCACGGCCAGCTGAAAGGAGGGAAGTGAAACAGACCTGAAAACCTCAGACGGTGACTATACACAGACTGATGAATGGCTTCCCCAGCACTGGGCTCACAATGGGTCCTGATGCAGATTACTGCAGACCAAGGTGGAGAAGCAGCAGCCGCGGATTTTGGCTGAAAACAAAATCGCTTTGTGCGAGCTGACAAAAGAAGAAAGATCCCGGGGGTAAACACTCAGCAAACAAAAAGAATGTAGATAACAACGTGCCATTTTCCTGCTCACTGGCTGAATTAACTATTAATTACCCCGAGGGCAGATTTCTTTTATGGAAAAATACTAAACAAGGCAAAAACTCACAGTGAATACTAAATACTCAGCTACAGCCTCTAATAGTGGATGTAAAGTATGGGCGAGATGCAGAGCGTGTTGTTGGAGCATTTATCAGGTAGCTGCTGGAGGCTGCCAAATGAAGCATCTGATCATTTGATTTCACTTTTGAAGGCTACAGGGATGAAGATATACTCAGAGGATATGAAGAAGTCAGCAGAGATCCTATTAGAGACCTGCGTCTATTATTCACAGAGCTGGAGGATGGGAGTGTTGCTGCATCTGATTAAATTATTATCGTCCTGTTCATTTTAGCTTTGACGACTGGTGTTATGTACCACAGTGGCAGAGAAGAAAACACTGCAGCGGGGGAGTCGAGAACGCCCCAAACGAGGCTACTGGTATAGACAGAGTAGAGAAGGAGGAGTAATGTTGAGTTCTTCTAAAAACAGGACGCCACCACCTGGAAACTGGTGTGATGACGGTGTGATGCCACAGCACAGAGATGGGTGGGTGTGTCTCATCGCTGGTTACAACGGACCGTGTGGGCGATGGCAGTGCATAAAAGTTATTGATCAGGCAGTGTGACCAGAGACAGACCTCCCTCTGAATCTTTCCTACCAGAACACACAGAACAGTATTAAAGAGAAGAGGAATTTTGATGCCTGACATAATTTCGTGATTTCCGACACCGATGGAGTCGTGAAAATTAACACGCATTATAGGAGATGTAGATTATGGTAAACGGACGTTTAATTAAAACAGTAATAAATGTTCTCAGATAATGGGGTGGGGCCCCTGGGGGGGCGTGATGAGGTGCCAGCATGGGCGTGAGGGGCTTCCAATGGAATATGGCACGCTAGACATCAGTGTACCACTGCTGTAATGCTTAAATGATAACAAGCCTGCAGTCACTAGGTGGCAGCAACTCATACAGTAGTTTGTACAGATAAAAATATACATGTTATCAGGTATTTCAATTTGCGGGGGTGTGGGTTTGGAGGGGTGCAGGAGAGAGTACGGGGGCGTGAAAACATTTCTGTCTCCATGACAGAAAATAACTGAGAACCGCTGAATTAGAATTAGGATTAAAAGTATAAAGTAGTACATGTTAAGAAATTGGACCACAGAAATTGAAAATGTGGGCTGAATTCAGCACGAGGGCCTCAGGTTTGACACCAGTGTTTAGTTCTGCTGCAGCCTTCCTAGTAAGAGAAACTCAGGGAAATGACTGAATGGTATTCGTCTGTACTTTGGTTTAGAGTAGGGTTGTAGTAATCTTCAGGTTAATCATAAAATATGTTCATTGGAAGAATGTGTTCAAACATACAGTGAGAGAGTCTCTCTGAGACCAGAGCCCTTTATCTAGTCAGGAGACAGCTGACAGTTCTGATGGGAACTTCATCAACTACAAAGGCCAGATGTCTGGACTCGGTGCAATCTGCTTAGGAGGTTCCTTTATTTTCAAGCAAGAGGCAGCACAGATGCTGCTTCTTCACCACGGCAACATCATCAAGACATCTTCACATGAGAGTGTGCTCTACANGGGGGGGGGGGGGGGGGGGGGATGCTGCAAATACATATCTTAAAAAAACAAACATAACATTTTAATTTTCAATTAAAAAATATTTTAAAAAACATTCCAAAACATGTCAGAAAATTGATTTTCAATTAAAAAATATTTTAAAAAATACATGTCAGAAAATGTATTGTATAGTTTAAAGTTAGCCAAAACAGCTAAATAGCTAAGTAAGAAAGCCAACTGTTGCCAAAATTAGGAAAACTTACAATAAGCTGTAAAAAGTCGTGAAAATAAAATAAACAACCGTTAGCTGGACGAAACACTGCAAAAGATGGCCACACAGTAACTCGAGGTTCAACAAAGTAATCCAAAAATGTTGTTAGATGTTTCAGTTCACCCAAAATCTTAGGCAACATTTAATTAAGCTAGCCAACAAATGTTAAAAAGAAATAAGTAAATAGTTAGCCAAAACTAATAAACAGCATTACATTTTATTTTTATAGAAATTTTTCAAACAGAAACAAAAACTGAGACAGTGTTTTTTTTACCTTACAAAGAAGGAACACTCTGTTGTTCAGAGACATAAGTTTATGAACAATATGTTTGCCCTCATTTATACACTCTCAGCAGCAAACCACGATAAACGCAATCAATCTGTGGCCTTCAGCCAGCCGGCTGCCCACAAAGTGGATTTCACATGACAGCTGTGGTCAATATCTCTGACCTGAATATACAGCTGCTTTTTAACACCATTCATGTCGATAGACAAATTCACTGCACATAATGTCAACAAGAACAGGCAGTGAAGTCACAGCTGTTGATCTATAAAGCTGTTCAAAAAAAGAGGGAAATACAATTGACTGCATCAGCATACAAATGATAATAAAACTGCGGTTTGACAGTCCAACCAGGACCAGGCTGTAACCTCACTCTGATCCCACTGCTGTAAAAGTGTGTCACCCTGATGCAGACTCTAGATGTCCCGGACAACTAGGGCGGACAATTGAGATTGGCAAAGTCAGAGGACAGAAAAGCATCGGAAATCAGTTCTGCTGCGCCTGACATGGTTCACTTGTGTGTGTCCATTTCAGACGATGGTGTCAGGCTTGAATCGGTGCAGAAACGTTCCCCAAAAACAGCTCCACGTAGGGGACAGAAGGCAGTCGGCATGGCTACTCTGCGTCGCCAACCAAGATCAAGATCGTCCTCCACTCGCCAGGATCGAGGCTCCTGTTCCTCTACTGCATCCTGTCCTGTTTTCTCAGGATCTTACAGTGACCAAGAGGAGCCTCCACTGCGCGGCCAGTCTTCTCCTCTACTCAAAGGTTCTTTTACCAGTCTTAACAACTGCACCAAGTCAGCTCCAAAATTATCTGCTCCCAGTTACCAGGGCTCGTTACCAAGTCTCCGAGGATCTACCAGCTTCAAAGACATTCCATCTAACTTGGCAGGATCCCTGTCACCAATGAAGAGGGGCTCACTTGGCAGCCTGGACCGCCCTAGCACCAGACTGGGTGAATGGAGTACCAGTCATAGCCTACAGAGCAGCAACTGCAGTTCCAGTGATGATGGAAGTTGGGACACAAACAGCTGGAGCTCAGTGGCCACCTGCCTGCAGCGGACTCCTGTCAAGCACAAAAGTGCCGAGGTACCAGGAGATTCCTCTGTGGAGACCTGCACTGCTGCCCAGACTGCTGCACTTTCTGAGCCTGAAACTATCTACCAGAACCTTAACTTCACAAACTCTGCATCTCAAGTTAAAAGCAAGGCTTGTCTTCCTGCAAAAACGTCCAAAGCCCTGAGAAAAGACTCGGGAGCATCTCATAGCAGTGACGCAACAACCTGCAGTCAAGGACATGAGAAGACAGAGGACAGACGCAAGTTCTCACAGTTTCTCAATGAAGTGACACACAGGGTTCTGAGGTCCAACAGTGGAACCACCCAACAGAAGTCCACCCTCCGAAAACACCTCCCATCTCCGCCACTTCCATCAACCTCATCTCGTCCTCCTTCAACATCCACCCCGCGCTCAGCACTAACAAAATCACCTCCGTCAGAGTCAACTCCAAACCTGTGGAGCAGCCCAACGAGCTCCAACCTCCGCACCATCAAAGAGTTCGATTCTAGGGACATAACGACCTCCATACGTCAGTGGAGCCAGACACTGCCCAGCTGCAAGGTCCTGGAGCCGGGGGAGATGTTAAGGATGGTAAAAGGGGGAGGTCACTTGCACAACCTGGAGCGGTGCACAAAGGTCCAGGCTCTGCCCTCTACTGGTAGACTTTATTTAGAGACAGACATTGACAGACTAAGGCAACTTGATGAAATGGTGGCTAATGGCACCTTGGGGAAGGAGAGAAAAGTGAAAGTCTTGGAAAAGGCTGTGCAAAGAGGGAAGGACTGGGAAAGCAAGATTCCTTGTGGGGAAAGTGGAGATTTGGGAGCAGAGACAAGAAAAGAGATGGAGAAGAAAAGAGAAAGCTCGTGGGAGAGAAAAAGTGAAAGCAAGAACATAAAAGGAAAGGATAAACAGACGGACAAGTCTGGCTGGGAAAAGGACGGAAGAACAGAACGCGGGCGGGAGAAGGAGAAGAAAGCGATTCATGCTAGTTACCAACATCCTCCTCCATCAGCTCCTGGTGGACAGAACAACTCATGCCCTGTCTTCAGCTGGTCGGAGGAGTTTTCCAGGATGTCCTTCAGGTCAACTTCACTTCCTAGACCTGTCACTGTCCCTGTAAGTAGAGCTATAAATTACTGATCTGAAATCAGCTGATTTTCTTCTCATGAAAAGACATCTAAGTCAGTTTAAAGTCTGGGAACAACATTCTGTAACAAAACAGTGTGTAACGATACACTCAACTTACGATCCAATTTTAGCACAATTCCTTTTTTTAAAAGAAAATGACTTCCAGTTCCACTGGGTTCCGCTTTCTAAACTAAATTTAAACAATTAAAGAACAACAATCTCATTACATCAAAGTATCCATAATAGATACACACTATAGTTGCTGGCTACTTAAAAGGGTTGCCAGATTTGATCTAAATAATGCAACCAGTATCCTTTGGTTCTAAGACTATTATCTAGTTATACATTTTATTTTTTATTTAAGATCATTTTAGTTTAGCTTAGTTTTTAGTGCATAAATTATTAGCATAAATATTAAACTCAGCTGAACATTCGTCAATAATTAATAACCTCAACGCCTGAAAAATACCGAACTTGACAAACTGAAAACTAAAAAATTTAAATTTGCCAAAGATGAGATCAAATGTGATAAAAGTAGCAAAAAATAGCCAACTTAGCCAAACAGCTAAAACAAACCTGCCCGAAAAATGAACAAAAATTGATCAACAAAAAACATGGCTCAGAAATACTTTAAATGTAGCTTAAAAAGGGGCTCATCAAAAATGTAGACCAAATCCTAACAGAAATGGGCCACACTGAGACCACAAATGAGCCGTGATTTTAGATCAAGTTCTAGCTCCTGCTTTTCAACACATCCGCTCTTGGTTTTGGGCGTTTTAACAAACTTTGCACCATGAATTTCCAAACTCAGAGGTTTCATTTTTTCTGAACTCGGCCTTTCATGTGTCAGCTCATTTCCTGAAGCACAAACCGTGGCGCAACCACACGAAACTGTGTCGCTCTTTTATTTATTAATCCAAAAACTGTTGAGTCAGTATTCTGTAGAATTTCTGCAACTCAGTCTGACGATGAGTTTCTTTCCTTTTTTTTATATATATAATAAGTTACTGGTAATTTTCCAAGCCCAATCGGAGCACCGCACAGTCCCTGAATAAGTAGATTAGATTATATTACATCATGTCATAGGCGTTGTTGCATCACATCCGTTTACCTTATTATGGCTAATGTCGAGTATAATTGGATTATATTATTTCAGAGAAAGAGGAACAGCCTTGTGCGTCTTTTTTTTCTCTCACACTGCTGTGAGAGCAGAATGTAAATGTGAGCTACGTAAACATAACCAACGCCCGACTTCACTCCATGTTTGTTTGTGGTTTTAATCCGATGCGCTGTATCACGATTTTTGACTTGTTAGTTAAATATTGCTCTCCGCTGACTTATTATGCAGGGATAATTTATGTTTTGCCTAATTATATCTGTCAAATCCCCCCGTTTTCCATAGAAAACAAACGACCAAATGTGATTATTTACGAATGTCTTGCAAATGAGACTTCCTAGCATGCACAGGAATATAAAGTGAGAAGCACCATGAAAGAGGAGCTGTTTAACCAAGAGGAGGTGAAAACAAAAGAGATAATACAGGCAAACATACTGGTCAACAACAAAGCG